TAAACAAAAGAATGATGAAAATAAGATGATGATAATTATCACATTTTTATTTGTAATTTGAAATCAAAAATTATTAAAATTTTTTAATAAAAAAGAATTTGCCATATTACGTATTCAAATCATGTCGTGTGACATTCGTGGATGTCAAATTCTAGGTGGATGCTCTTTAAGGCAACAAGTTTGTATATCGTCCGCCAAAAGAGGTACATCAAAAGGGCAACCTTGCATTTGTGCATATTTGGAATTCCTATCGTGTTTGCGTATACCCTCAAGTCTCTTGGTGTGTCACCTGAACACAAACAATCAGGAAAAGGTTTCGGATGGGTTTCGCTATCTAATACATGAAATAAATTTCCTTTGTTCGTCCGTTATGGTATATAATATTTAATTCGACACGCGGAAATTAGAGAAATGGTTCAACATCATCGGTAAACAATAACGATCGAACGACGACAGCTATCGAGAACAAATGGAGGAGGGTCCCGTGAATATTTCGTTCGCCCATTGTTCGTGTTCTTTTTTTAAAAAACCATTCACTCACACCACTATTTGTTTTTTTGGCCATCCATTTTTGGCAACGTACATACGCACATACAGTATATTGCGTTCTCGACGCTGTTTCATTTGTCAGCGAAACAATAAACACGTACGGTAAATCACCGTCGCCGCATAAGATAAGGGTTATGGAAATAATATCAACTCTAAAAACGCCATGCAAGCCTTCCAGCCTGTTTTGGTGAGATTGTGCGTATGTTTAAAGAGATTCGCATTCAGACTATCTATCCTCGAAAAAGCGTTCAAAGAGCAGGGAGGCGAACCTGTTAATGAGGGAAACCTTATTTGGAAGTCGTATTAGCAATGAAGCGAGACGGCGGTCAAATCGACAGTATGCCAGAATCCGGATATATATAATGAGCGAAAATTTGATGCATTTTTGTAGGCAACCGCACATTCCTTTTTCCTTCTCGTTTCCTCTTTTCAACATGCCTCAATTTTGAGAGACACGAGGTTTGATTTACCGCCAAGAAAACAAAAAAACAAAAAACCAAGAGGGTTCGTTCGTTCGTTCGTAACTCAGGTCCTGGCATCCGGTTCCGCGAACGGTCCATCCACTCTGAACCTTACAAACTTTACGTAATCAATTTCAATGAATGCAAAACTCTCAGGAGTTGTATAATAAACAACTGTTTCATTATCATTTTCTGTTCCGAGGGGCTTAAAACCTCAACAATCGGTTATATAATAAACATTTGGCACGAGATTACTAAACTCACTAAGTCAACGACAATGACGGTCGGTCGCCTTTTAACTAATGGAAGCCACACGGTTTACACAATCGAAATGTTTCATTTAAACCTGACACCATTTTTTTCGGAGGGAATCGACCTCGACACATCCCCAGGATGACGAAACCCATCCTAATGTACTCCCTAAATCTGTTACCAATTATTTTCATATGAAAAATTTTAATTGTTAGCAGACGAGAACAAACATGGAACACTGGAATTAATTTGTACACTTGTCATCCGTCGGTTACACACACGGAATTTGAAGTTGGCTAAAGGAAAATTAGTAACGTTCACATGATCGTTTCCTACCGCCGTTACACACACAACCTGACCGTCGGATACGCAACGTCACACGTAACGAGTTCTAGTCGCGGCACGAAAATGAGTGAAACTACAAAACCTCCTCTCGCGTTCCTTTTCAATTCACCGATCTCCTTATTAATTCATTCATTTCTGTTGTTTGTTAATCATTTAAGTCACATACACAATGCGATTCACTTCACATACACACTGACACTGACACTGCTTTCCTCTCAATATGCGTTAAGACTTTATATATTTTTTTTCTTTTTTATTTTTTTAAAAAAATTTTTTTTTTTTGTAGAAGATAATAATACACACTATTCATTCAAAAGAAGAAAAATAAGAAAAAAAATTCGAACCCATGAAAAAAAAAAAAAAAAAAAATTCACTGCACCCCAAAACCCGACCTTTGAAACAAAAGAGAAAGTGTAAAAGGAATCAAAAATAGTTCACAAACGAAGAATACTGGATTTCGTAAAGAATAGATTTGCTGTCGCTTTGAAGGATGAGGAAGTCAAATCAAATTCTCTCGGTTTCTTTTATTTCTTTTTCTCATGAGAATAAGAAGGGTAAATAAGTGGAAATTATAAAGCAAGTTTTTTTTTTGTTTATTTCTTATTTTTTTGTTTTTATTTATTTATTCATTTTTTTTTTTTCAAAAAGAAAAGCTTATATGTATTATTTATACGTCAAATATTTATATTTATATCAAGAAGAGCGAAATTATATATATAGGTTTGGTGTATTTTGGGAAAGTCTTAATTTGTACAGAAAAAATATGCACATGAACAGGACCAAGCCCGTGTCATTGTACACATTTTTTATTTTTTTAGTATATATATATATGTTGGGTTTTCGGTTGGAAATTTGTGTGTATGGAGGGATCAGAAAGTGTTTTTTTTTTTAAAGAAAAAAATAAAGGGTGAATCGTTGTTTTCTCATTATTTCGCGAGGAGATGTTAAAGGAAATTGTGAAAAGAATTGACGTGAACGGATTTCCTTTAAAAATAGATAGCATATATGAATGTTTTGTTTTTTTTGAGGGGTAATTAATGAGAATATGCATAGATTTTTTTTTAAAGTTTTCAGATATGCAGGAGAAGAAGAGGGTCGAGGTGATTCCACCTATTTTAGTTCCCCAACAGAAAAAAAAAAATAATTCGCGCCTCTTTTCACATCAAAACTCTCCAAGCTGTTCTCGAACACACTTAATGTTGATATCTTAATTTTTCCGGGTCCCTCCAGATTTTATGGTGTTAGGAAAAAAAACTTAGCAAAAACCCAAAGAATGAAAAAGGATTTCGTTCGTGTATAACTATTTAACAGAAAAATTCTAAGTATGTACAGTTTATAAAGGAAAAGGGTAGCGACAGTAGAGACAAAGAAGGATAGGTTTTAGGGAAGACTCTATGTAAAAAAAATGTACAAAGAAAAAAAAAAAAGTACGTGAAAGAAAGTATATATGTACGGTAGGTGCCCACCCAAAGTTAAATGATAGGAGGCAAATTTCATTGCTTCGCTTCGCAAATAGTTTCACGAGTTGCAGAAGACGTAATAACAAAATTTGTCAACTTTTTTTTGAATTTTTGAATTTCTTTTTTTTTGGTAAACCGCCGGAATTCGCGATTTTTTTTTTTGATTTTTTTTTTTAAATGAATTTTTGCCCACCCCAATAAAATTTTTAATAGGATGCATTGGTGATAATCAAAGAATTTATGTTGAAAGAAGGTAATGATTGGAGAAATTGAACACGCGTATAGGGTGTGAATTTCTCTTTTGTTTTTTTTGTTTTTTTTTACAGAAAGGTTTTTTTTTTTTAATAATGGAAAATATTTTGTAAAGTGTAACGGAATCACAACTAGAATGACTATTTCAAAAAGGGGTTATAACCGATATTGAGAATAAAGTGTTTGAAAGAAAGAGAAACGAGATTCTTTTAAAAAAAAAAAAGGTTGCACATTACTCCATGTAGGCCAGGGATCTGACCGGTGGTAAACTGTGAACAGGTCCAAAAGAAGACCGACCACAGTCAAAGAAGTTCGTGCCATAGTAAGCGCCAAAGTTAGAATTATTGACGGAGCAGGTGTTGGAAGCGACAGTCGATGACAACGTGTTATTACTGGTGAGCGGGGGCAAGGTTCGAACCCTCGGTGAGAAGGTTGGATCGTTGACGATATCGCTGATACGATTTGGCGCGGGAAAACCGTAACCAGGCATATCCTTCCATTGACCAGGACAATTGATGTAGAAATTTGAAACGAGGCCAGAATTAATAGAGGCCGAGGCGAAACCGTCAGGGCCTACTATGTGAGGACCGAGTGAAGGGGATTGGTCAGGGGAATGATTGGGGGTGACGAGTGGGATATCATCCTCATCTAAACCGGTGTCATGGCACATTGGAGGAGAAAGACCTTCAGAGACCGCAGTCAATGGAGGGCTCAACATGCAGTCGTCCTCGTTGCCACGAACTCTCTTGCTACTCGGTTCCAAAAAAAAGTCCTGGAGGTGACGAGCGTATCCAACCATGGGTTGAGCCAAGTACGCTTGGTGCTGGTGCATCGCGAAGCTTCCGCCGGAGGAGGAAGCAGAACCGGTGCTAGAACAACTGGATGAACTTATCGTGGAACTGTTGCTGTTGCTACGAGAACGGAAGTGTTCAGGAAGGATCGGATCATCGTCGTCTTCGAACGGTTGACGCAGGTCAAGTTGAACGGGTCGATTTTTGAACTCCACGGTCGACCGTTGTTGCGACGGTTTGCGTTTATCCCTATTCAGGTGGGTACGCTTGTGACGTGTCAGCTCGTCGGATCTCGAGAACCTTTTTTCACAACCTGGAAAATCACACCTGTGAGGCTTCTCGCCGGTATGAGTTCGAATGTGACGAGTCTGGTGCTCCAACCTGTAGAACGCCTTGGGACACATGGTGCATTTGTAGGGACGAGGAGCATTCGACTTGTCAACAGCAGCGTGCGGTCTTTTCTTTGAACCTGAATTGGTAGGTAATGGACTAACGACGGACGGAATCGAACGTTGTTCGTGGCCCATGTCGTACAAATTTCGTGCGAAAATTGGCATTGCGGAAGACATTGGGGTGGAGTGGTCAGGATGCAAGATGTTTGATAGAGCTGCTGCCATTTTCAACGCTTAATTCTTTTTTTTTTTTTTTTAACAGTGGTGGTAGGTCGGTAGCAAGAAAGATGGTGAAAAAGTTTCAAAGATGAAAAAAGTGAAAATCTGAGAGCAAAGGAGAAAAAAACAGATGTGAATTTTATGGTGAGCGAGTTTGTGTTTTAGCGGACACAGAGCTTTAACAAAAATTTTCAGGAAGCGAAAAAAATCGTTAAAACAGACTTGTGTAAGTAGAAGAGAACAATTTTTACAAGTAATTGTAACTTCGTGTGTAGTGAGTAAAGAAAAAAAAGGTCGTGAAAAAAAAAAGTAGACGAGATGATAAAAGAAAAAAAAGCCAACGCAATCGATTTCAATAATACCTTGGCTTTCTTATTCAGCTTACGGAAAGAAAAATATAAAGTGCTTCGTAGGGTGGCAAAAAGATGGATACGAAAATCATGGAGGAGAAAAGAAGAAAGTCGGGCGGGTAGAGGAATTTATATGCTTGTTTCGTCGATAGACAGATTGAGTTTTGTTTTTGACACTTGTATAATCTAAACAAACAAAATAGAGAAGTTCACTGTATAAATTCATTCAATAGGGTAAAACGTTGCTAGTACAACATGACTTGACATATTATTGTATCAGTTTTTAGAGTAACAAGGTTAACATAAAAAAAAAGAGTAGAAAAGACAATGAAACGTGTATAAAAAAAAAAAACAAAATAAATAAACAATACCACATAAATTGGTAAAGAGGGCCTACTTGAAAGATCCATCATTATCTCATTACATATGAAGATTTCATCGTCATTTTTTTTTTTTTTTTTTTTTTTTTTTTCGAGAAGGAAAAAAAAAAGGTTCATCATCATCATTATTATAATTACCTTTCTACTATTATTTATTATTATTTGCAATCATTATCATTTATTATTATTATCGCTCACACCGTTATAATTCTAATTATAATCACCACTCTTTTTTTTTTTTAAAGTCCAATTTATTTTTTACTAGTTCAAAATCTCTATTTCTATTCTAATTTCTCATCTGTTTGTTCTTTTCGCAAAAAATGCAATATATTTAATATATAAATCTTGAATTCTTTTTTTGTCATACACGCCGAAAATTCAGTTTTTTTTTCTGCAAAAAAGGGTTCAAGCTTGGGGAGCGAAAAATTTAGGCTGACATGTGAAAGTGAAGAAGAGGTAGAGTAATTGAGATAAATTTGATAATTTATGTTTGTAATTTAATTACATAGAATAATAAAAAAAAAAAAAAAAAAACCGAATAATAATAAGCACTGCACAAGGACTTTTGATTGTATCAGTAATATTACAAGGTATGACAACAAAATATAAACAATACGAAATGTTCACAATACCCAAGGTATCATGATGCTACGTAATAATAATGATATTAATAAATCTTCTTATGACATATGGTGCTATCGACTGCATCACTTATCAACACAATCGATCGATCAGTCAAAAGGTCGACGACGTCAACTTGGTTGACTGTCATCTATTTATTTATTTATTTATCTTGTGTAATCTAAACAAAATTTGCTGGGTCTGGTAACCCAACCCAGGTAACCTCGTCGCCGTGGACTAATAAAGATATCTGACCTTGCGCAGGGGTGCACGAGGAAGGCATTTCAGAGGAATACGGGATTATTCGGGATCTTCTACATAATAGCATGAGGTGGCGACTTGGGGTGGCACGAGGCGCAGTAGAAGAATCAACAGAATCAACAGAATCAACGTACATACGCACCCATAGACGTCAGCCTTTCAGATAATGTTGCAATAGATTCTACGTATCATCAACCACAATCTAAAAAAGCACACACATTTTTTTTTGACAGCTCTATGACGTAGAATTACCATAAAAGTGTTCCACGGTGCCCGTCCACGTTTTTTCATTTCAATGTTCCTACCCAAAAATTCGATCCATTCTATTACAATCGGCAAACAAGGAGAACCCGTATTGGTAGCATACAATCGATCTCGTATTATTTCCATAATTTTTTTGCGATTCTAATTAAGGCTAGAAAAACGTTGGGGTAAATTGTAAAGAGAATGAGAAAATTTGGCATGTACGTGCGACCCGATAGCCACAATGTTGACCCCCACGATAACGATTACCTTGGGTCGCAAGTTCATCATTGGTACCGGATCCCTTGGTAGCAAAAAATTTTTTGTTTACAGCTCAAATCATACCACCACCAATCATTATCAATTTCTTATAACATATTTTACCATGCTTAATTACCAAATCCGTGAAAGTCCGGGTATTTTCACGAAACGTTAGCAAGTGATGACATGATCAATATGAAAATCACACTTCATTATGACACTAACCCAGTTTCCTTGAACATAATATTGTCGCCAATTAATTGTGTTTCCGATGGATGAAAAAGCTTTGTTGTACCACCATTACATAAATTGTCTTTGTGCAACTGACAATAACCCACATTTCCTCATTCTTTGGTATAGAGAATTGTGGGAATAACGTGTAATGCATGCACCTTCTGATATTAAATTTTAACCTATTCCTGTTCATTTCGTGTGTTGTTTTTTAAAGAGACAATGTATTCCGTCAAAAGAAAAAAGCTTTTTTTTCTTTTTCTCTGACGATCTGGCATCAAAAAAGAAAGTGTGCGTATGTGCAATTTATTACGTATATACGCACATACATTTCACAATAAGCCATAGGTTGTAGATCGACACGGCCTAGACATCGGTAGGGAAGAAGGAAATTTTTTTTTCGTTTACTATTTTATTTTATTTTATTTTTCCATCCATAAATTATTTTTCCGTTATTTACTCCTTTCTCCAAAGGAATGTTTGAAATGCACGTGGGGTTTAATAAAAAAAATAAATAAATAAAATAACAATAATATTTTTTTTTTTTCTTTTTTTACCCAACGCAGAAACAATTGCTACTGCATACACTATTGATGAATGAATGGAAAAAAATTTAGGACACAACAGGATGCCCACAGTAGTCGGGCTTACTCGCTCGTGATAATGATATAATCGATATGACGGAAATTAAAATGCTGAAATGGCAACCATTCATTTACCGAAAATGGAATTCCAAAAGATTTGGAACAATGGAGAATTTACCTGCACATTAGCTATACCAAATGAAACTTACACACGCATACGAGTGTATGAATGCCATCTCTTCTTTTTTTTTTCTCTACCGACCGATGATAACCACCGGAGAGAGCACATGATGCAATTCGTTACCCTTCTTTCCCTCTTGGTAAATTCCCGATAGAGAATAGTTTAAAGGTGGTACTACGAACCAATAAATCTCGGTAGAAATAGAGTTTTGTGTACATCGGGGTGCCACCCATATCGGAAGTCAAGTAAGCAATAACGATCGGTAAAAAAAAAAACCTTGTCACCTCATTGCCTTTCTCAGCTATTTGTGTTTTTTTTTTTAATCAATAAAAGAAAAATATGGTTTTTTTTATTGTTTTACTATATTACCGATCTAACCTAAAGTTTTGTGAATTTTAAATAAGATCCAAAGTTCACCACCTCAAGCAAAAATTTCCCCAGGAAAGTGTGCCTTCATAATAAATTTAAATGAACAGACCAAACAAGGTGTACTCAGACCTTACATTCAAAACTATTGTTATTCTGATGATTTCACTATTACTGGAGGAATTAAAAATTCATGCATATTCTCTCGGTTCTAGGTGCCAACGTCCGAGCCCGCATTCCGAAATTTTCGCAAATTGTCGATCATCTTTCCCTCCAAAATGCGCTTATCGCACCTTCTCCAGATGATAGGTTAGTTTGAGGTCAATTTAAATCAGAGGCGTGTACATGACTTTAAACTTTTATATGATGGGTTTGGGTAACTTGAGGCCACTATTCTACGGATGGAATTCTTTTTGGCGGGTTTTTCTTTCATAAGATCAACTTTTTCCTGTCAGATTATATCAAAGTAGGAACGAGCATACGTAATTGAGAAACGTGATGTGAATACACCACGCCAATTTTGGTAAATCTTTAGATTTTGCATCTTGTTCTGTAGTCAAAGAAAAAATTGTGCATGTCAAATTCCTGTATCCCTTATCTAAACCTTCCCTTCAGGCGCCATTACCAATGTTCTTGCACTTTCATGCACCTTTCTCTCTCATTGTGTGTGTGCATACACCATTCTGAATAACACATGTTAAATTCCAAAACGATCAAATGTGTGACCACGTGCAGTACGTCATTTTTCATTCATATGAATCATGTGACACAATGTCTATTGTCATTGTCATAATGCGCTATCATAAGAGAACAGCTTTCGCATGCATTGCATCGATTAGACCTTTGTGATTTAATATGCACACAAATAAAATACGAACAAGTTCGTGAATTATTTTATTTTATATTTTTGACGTTACGTGCGGGTCACAAATATTTGTTTCTTCAAAATGGCAATTAATCTAATACCCAATATTGTGAATATCTGTGTGGTCTCTGGTGTTATACGGAGCCCCTACTTCCACATTTAGGTTGGTTAACGCGCGAAATTGATGAAAGAGAATGTTTGCATGTGCAAACTTTGAAATATAGCATATCAATTTCACCAAATTGAATTTGAGACCAATTCATGTGCGATGACATTTTTCCGCTCGACCTGCTACCAACAATTCAAACGGCATTGACAAATCGCCTTTTTAAATTTAGTAGCAAATCGATTAATCTCCGATTGTTTCAACCATCAAGTTTAAAATAAGCTGTGCCACTGCCATTGTAACCACTGTAACCAGTGACCAGTGACCAATCCATCAATCGTCATATTCGGAACCTCTCCCCATGATCCCAGGAATTCGCGAGATCATTTGCACCCAATCCTTCTGTCCGTTGAGGTAAAGCGTTTGATTCGTTTTGGTTCATCCCTGTTTACTTTTCCTCCGTGATATGACCACGATCGAGAATTCATCACCCACAAACCGTGTGATCCATACGATGCGTTCGTGTTACTGACACCCAAAATTTTTATTCATCTTTCTACTGTCTGACCAAACGCTCGTGTGGAAATACACGGGATTTAATCCCGGTCGACGACTCCTATGCACTGAAATTTGAATTTTTAATATGGCACAATGTCAAAAGAGCACTTTTCCGGATTTAGTAAAGATTGGTTATGCTTTTTTAGCACTAGTCTACATTCAATAGGACACGAAAATAAAGTTTGTGAGAGATGAACTTTGATAAGTGCAATGTAACGGACTAAACTAATGTTTATAAACGCACGTATGTGCATACCGCAGAGAGCACGACATATCTATTTGTGAGTGATTTTAAGATTAAATGCATACTGCATAACTTCCGTTGCCAGGAACGATGTAATTGTAATTTTTTATTTCCAATTTGCGATGTTTATGGTTATTAATCCAATAAAAAAATATCACTGTATCGTGAACCCATCAAAATTCAATGTGAATTATTACAATTATTGTATAACTTCGTTTGTCAATAATAACATTGTTGTTTACATGAACCTCCTCCATCGAATGATTTTTTTATTTATATTTATTTATTTATTTATATTATAGGTAGGCAGATATGATTATTTGGAAAATCATTGTTAATAATTGTGTGATCACACACTAACATGTAACACTCCCTGTTGACAAACAGAAAAATAATCAAGATCCAACAGAAGCAATGACCTTTTGTTACCAAACAATTAATTAAAGATTTTAGGTTTCAGCATCATCCATTTTTGTTTTTAAAGATTCTTGGATGTTTTGTTATTAATTAAAAATTCTTGCTCTTATCAATTGACAAATTCAGATTTTCTATTAAAATTTAAAAAACAAATAATTTAAAAAATTTTTTAAAAAATTTTTTAATTTTGTTTATTAATACAATATGTTTTAAAAAAAATCAAATTTTACAAATTAATATAATCAATTTTACAAATGAAAAATTATTAATTATCAAAAAAAACATATTATCAATATTATTATATGTTGTGAATAATAATTTGATTATTTTAAAAAATACCATCATATTTTAAAAAAAATAAAATTATTGAAATAATATATCTAAATATTTTTATATTATAATTTTTTTTTTAATATACAGTATATATATTTCTTTGGTTTTATTATATATTATTTTAAATTGATCCAATTAATATTACTACAATTTATATCTTTACAATAAATTTTAAAAGAAAATTCTTTAATTATATATATTACCAAATAGTCATTATTAAAGTGAAAAAGAAAAAAAAAGAATATATATATATAATACAATCAAGTGCATTAAAAATTAATCAAATTTGATGTACTAACTATTGAAAGCCAAAGTCTTGAATATTAAATTTTTATTACTTTATTAATTAATACAGATTATAAACATCCAAGTTATTTTTAATTAATTTAAATATAAATTATCAATATCAAAATGTCAAATCAAATATTTTAATTAAAAACAAACAATAAAATAATAAAAAATTGATTTTAAAAAAAAAAGCTAATCTTAAATTTTTATAATTAACTATCTTTTTTGAATTATTTTTAATAATATTCTAATTTGTACTACAAAAAAACAATCTTTTCTTAATCAAATTACAATTATAAAAAAAAATCAAAAGATTATCAATATTTTAAAATAACAAGACAAAGAAAAAACTTTATTATAAAAAAGAAAAAACTTAACAAATCAAATTACAAATAAATTTTCAAAACATATCATAACTATCTATTAAAAAATCTTTAAAAACTTTTTTATTATTATAAGATTATTCAAATATAAATATATAAAATTAATTAAAAAAAAACTTTACAGTATTAAGAAACAACAAATAAAATAGTTTTATAAATTTTTTTACAACCAATTTTATCAAATTTTGAGAAAAATCAAAAAGCTTTATAAAAAAGGCTTTTAATAATTTAAAATTTTTCTTGAATTTTAATATAATTTAAAACAATCATGAAAATCTAATTAATAATTCTAAACAAATTAAAAAAATTGTAAATAAATATTTTAAAAAA